CCACTACAGGTTAATGTAGTGTTGTGTCTATAGCCTGTCCCTGCAGGCTCTGTGATGTAAACTCTGCCTTTTCATAGAAAAAGCAGTGTTTACATTGCTGCCTAGTAACACCTCTAGTGTCAAGTCTCTCAGATGGCCACTAAAGGGTCTTCCTACACTGTGTGCAGCACCTACATTCAGCTTGTCCACGCTCTGCATGGAGAAGCTGAACGCTTCCCATAGAGATATATTGATTCAGTTCATCCCTATGAGGAGAGGCTGATTGGAAGAGAACGTTGTTTTGCTGTGCATGTGCCTTAGCAAACCAATTGGGTTGTCTGAGATCATAAAGATTGAGTCGGGTTCAGCCATGGAAAGGGAGAAAAGGCAAGTTTAAATATATATTTTACTGCACATGAGTGGGGCTAGTCACCCTAACAAACTACTGCAGCACTATAGTGTTAGGAATACATGTTTGTATTCCTAACAGTATAGTGTTCCATTGATTCATTAAAGGAACACTGTAGCTTGTGGAATGCAAAACTGTATTCCTAATGCTATAGTAAGCCTCTGTTCCTAACTTTGGAGTGGCAGAGATCATGAAGATTGATGATATCAGCCATGGTGGCAGGGCCAGCCGCATCAAGATTGGCGTAGCGATTGAGAAAAAGTTAGTAAAGCTACATTTAATCTCCAATCTGATGGGGCCGCGACCTAAATAGGTAGTCCATCACTATATTGTTCCTTTAATGTTTCAACAGTTTTTGTAGCTAGTGACTATGGTCAATAATTTGGTGAATTAGTTTGTTTCAGTACTAATTATTACAAGTGTAGACATTTTACAAGTCCAAAAAAAAAAAGAGGGATTACTAATCCAGAGAACAACAGGTTGCTTAACTGAGCCAGGGTCAGCAGAACCCATAGATATAATATATATCAAGGAAGAAGCCTCAGGCACTCACTGTGTTAAGAGATAAAGCAGTTTATCAGACCAAGCTTGACAAAGATCTCAGTGGAGGTCAAAACGTTGCTGTGCACAAATTGGGCCAATAAACTGCTTTATCTCTAAACAGTGAGGTCCTGAGGCTTCTTCCTTGATATACAAGTGCAGACCTATAACACTGTAAAAAGAACCCAAAACGCCTTTGCTACAAGAATTTGCACTAAGGCCAATTATGTCCTAAGTAAACAGCAGAGAAATGCTGTAGAGCACATTTCAAAATATCAAGTCCCAAGAAATCACCAAGGCTTAAAAATTACTCACCATTAGAAAGCTTCTTCTACTACATGATCTCTGGGAATGGATAGGGTAGCAGCACATGACACTGGTTTTAACAGTTAATCACATAATTACATTTATTGTGATAAGCACCTTTTTTACGTTACCCTGCACTATAGGTATAAAGAGGAGGGAGGGAAGTATTTGTGATCAATCTCCCCTCTAAATGTGTCTAAGTAGAATCTGTTTGTGGCAGAATTGAAGTACTTCCAGTAAGGTTCCTGAGATGGGTTAAGACTGGTGAATGATGGACAGAATACTGCAGC